CTCATGAAACATAGCAGCATGGTCCATAAATTTAGAGACTTCCATAAGCAACTCTTTATCTAAAGGTACCTTCTGCCATTCTGCAATGCTGGGGTACCACCAGACTTCTTAATAGAAGCATAATGACATGCTAGAGTAACATCAGTTCTATGGGATGTTAAATATTCAGTAGCTCCTCTTACATAGTGGAAGATTCAGGCCTTAGCCTTGTATAAAAATATGCTGTCAAAAAGCTAGAAAAAACATACAAATCATTCAGTCCTACAGAGTAAAACCAGCTGCTGGGGTTACTTGTGCCCCAGGGCAGCTTTAATTTGGACGTGCAATATATCACCATAGGGCTACTTGATCAGAGTTGCAGTCTCAGGAAATATTTTCAGGACTATTCAATTTCCATTAGCAGTTTCTCCAGGATGTATTAGGCACAAACTGGGTTTCCTTCAATATCAATCATTCATGTTTTTTCTTTCATCCTGTCTTTGCTAAAATGGGATTTTCATGGAGGCCATGAAATTGCAAAATTTAGTCTGTTCTTACGGCTGGTTCTATCATTTAGGCTGCTTTAATGGTGTTTCACAGCAAAGGCTGGGTAAGGAACCTCTCTCCACCCTGGCGTTAGAGAACACCCCGTAATGCTCAGTATTTTGCCTTCCCATTCAGTAGTTTCCTTCCCCTCTACCCCCGTCTCTTTCTCCACACTTCAAGACTGATTCTCCTTGGCAGCTCTCTGGTAATGGGTACTTCTGCTCTGTTCCCCAAGGATGCAAGTTGGTACACTTCCCCAGTGTGCGAGTGCAGTACCTTCTCCAGGACCAAGGTTAAAAATCAGTTGCTTATGCCTTTCACAGAGCCCTATGATGCAGCAAGCGTACAAATGCTAGCTATAGCTCCCAAGGTCCCTTCCAAATTGAATTATCCTACAACAGTATTACATTCATACATATCGATGGAAAGATGATGAGATCTGAGGACACCTTCTTTCTGAAAAGACTACAAAGCTGCAAATATTGCTTCTTTTTGCTTGTTGTGAAAAGGGAGAAAAAAGGAGCTTTAAGAACTGAAATGTCCTCACGAGGGGCAGCTGGTGAGACCAGCTGGTGACTCATGTGACTTGGAAGCTCCCCGAGAAGTGGACTTTGCTGACCCAAGACAAAAAAAAAAAATCCCCAAACAAAACAATTCAAAGAATAACCAAAAAACCACCAGTGCTTATGATTCTTGCGTGTTCCAAGTCCTTTGTAACAGCAACCAGCTTAGTTATCAGTCTTCTTACTCAGTCACTTTACTAATTATATGATTCTGCTTTTCTAAGTAAACTCCTGGAATTTCCTCCCTCTGATTTGTGAGGGCCCTTCTCAGGGCCAGTATTTCCCTCCATTTAGCTAAAACAAACAAGAGCTTTCTCTTTGAAAGTATTTCAGCATCATGAGATAAGTTTCCTTCCTCCTTTTAATAATTGCAGGGCTCTCCAGAGGAAAGTGTCAACAACATCATTTCCTTCCAAATTCTAATGTTCTTCTAGGTGGTGAGATTAGATTACACTAAAATTAATTGTTGGTTTCAAGCCTTCATTCTTCAGGCAGCAACCTCAGCTCTCATGAACGTTATTACTTCAACTCACCTGTGATCTTTATTCACCTTTCCCACTTCTCTGCATCAGGCGGTCAGAGAGCACACAAAAGCTGCAACCCACAACCAAAAAGCATAAAATCCAGTAGTTAATGTGATTGCTGTACCTTAATTCTCTACCTGTAGGGAGCGTTCCCGCGGACAGGGCACATGGGGAGACATAGGATCACAGGCTCTGTGTTGACGAGTTTACCATGTCATTTGAAAAATGGTAAGAAAAGCCCATGCAGCAGCCCAGGGCATGGGGATGAAGGAAGTAGCAATGACAAGACTGCGTGGTTAGCTGTTGTACATCTCAAACCACTTCACTGAGACGACCCATTTGGACGTTTTCTTTTACGAATAAATAAGTGAATAAATAAAATCAGCTAGCTCCGTCTGTTATTCACCCTAACCACAATAGGGTGGATTGATAGCTTGTAGACGGGGTTTTGAGGAGATATGGAGAAAGTGTCCTTCCAGATTAATTCAAGGACAGCACTCTAAGGAGTCTGTTACCCATTTTTCAAGCGTTCCTGTTTATTTACTGAAACAACAGGAGTAATATGACATCATAAATCTTTTAAAAATTGAAATAGTAGTGCCATTCTTGAAAGATTAATAATAAGGAACGCCTTTTAGAGTGTGCTCATGGAAATGTAATATGAATGATTAGTGGTTTTGAACATTAGAATTACAGTGTATAATTGTAATGTTATAGCAGCTATATAGGAGCCAGTGATTCCTTAATGGAATACATTGTGAATTTAATTATTTACATGGAAAAATCAGGGCTGATACAGTCACTGAATGATAGACCTACCATTTCCTACATCCTGCAAGTGTTATGAAGGAGCAGCGTTGCTGTCTATGCGGATACATTCAGTCCACGTTTGTTATTTAGTTAGTTTTAAATTCTACCCTACAGCAGATATACTTTTGTGTTGTTTAGGCTATCTTCCTGCAAGGCCTACCATAGGTGCCAAAATTCATTGAACGAGGATTTTGCTTACAGGAGAATGGGGCCCGCGTCGGAGGCTGAGGTTCATTCTTTGGGCAGGGAGGGAGCTGTCTCCCGCTGAAGAACCAAGTGGCCACGCAGGGTGCTTCGCCCTGTATTTCTTCTGCAATGGTGGTTTCAAAACTATTTGGCAGAACCACATCCAGCAAAAACATGCTTAAAAGTATGTATATATGCTCGGGAGACACATTTCCCTAGAGTGGCTTCTTGGTATACGTACAGTCACTCAGAAAAAATCCAAGAGTTCTTCAGATGCTTTTGTAATGTCAGTAATATTAAAAGTACAGTTTCAGTCCAGAGCAAAACATCACTCCCCTGCACAAAAGGCAAGATCGCATAGAATCAATATCTCTGTGTCGGTAATTCTCCCTGTAAGTATTTGCCACCCACAGGGTGCACCTTGCAGGGCTTCTCAGCTGCCTTGGGATGCAGGCGTGTGCCTCTATGCCTCCCAGCTCAGCCGAGGGGCTTTACACGCCGGGCTGTATTCAGAGCGGCTGCACCAGTCCAGAGGTTTTGCTTGCTCCTGTGAACAATTGATTTGATAGCAAAGGGAAGAAAGAAGAAGAAGTTTTTAAATCCTCTCAGCCCCAGTTGAGGGACTCATCGTAAAACTATCAGACAGAATTCAGCAGAGTGGAAATCCCTGCTCTGATAAGCCCCAGCCCTGGAAAGCGAGGGGTGCAAAGTTCAGGATGGAGGTGCGCTTGCTGGATGCCCTGCACTCCCCCATGCTTGGCCCTCGCTGCTGTTACTGACCTGTGGTGTTACACATCATTAATGTTAAAAAAAGAGCATCTAACCAAATTGAGCTGTAAGCAGTTCACACCTAAACTATAGGCTTTCCTTTTTGCTGGAAAAAGATTGTAATTCAGTGAAACATTAATTCCAGAAATTCCTGGTGCATGATCCTGCACATGGGCATGTGTCTTCAGCATGCAAGGAACTGTAAATGCACTATAAAAGAGCACATTTGTTAACACAGTTTATTGGCACACTTATTGGCAAAGCATACATAAAATACAGTTGTATTATATAACACACTGACTCACTGTGTCTTTACATGATGAGTTGAACATAGTAATATGTAAATGAAAAAATTAGTTTCTTTTATAAAGTTTCACATAAATACACCGGAATCAAAAAAAAAAAAAAGTAAAACAAAAAATAGTTTGAGGGCTTTACAAAAATATTATACAAGAAATATACTATGAAAAGAAATAACAACAAGGCCAACTCAGATACAATAATAAAAACACAAAAGTTTTAGATGTATTAAGCTGCCCACAAAGTTAATGGATTACATGGCTTTAAAATATCTGGATCGACAGCAATTTTACAAAGCATAAACTCTCATAGGACTGGGTGTCTTTTTCCACATAAAAATATTTCTCATGTCTTTGATGAAAAAAAGACATTTCTTGTTTCAGCACTTTTATTAAATGATGGAAAGAGTATCTACTGGCATCAGCTAAATGCAAATTAAAAATGCTGGATCCTTTAAATGATTAACTGATGAAAGGAAAGTTAAAGAAAGAACAAAAGTTACTTTAAATTACTTTTCTTCAAAAGCTGATTTTTTCTGAAACAAGAAATTTTAGGTGCAAGTTGAAAAGCAGAAAATATATTACAATTGTAAAAAGTTTTACATAGTTACGTTCATGAGATCCTGAGCACTGATGACTTGTTAAAATATGGCCAATGGTTGATGAGG